TTTTATTCAGATTTTATGAAGATATTTTAGTAATTTCAAATATAATAAAGTGTATTTTTCAAAACTAAAGAAAAAAAGTATTTTTCAAATTTAAGAAGCTAAAAGAGGCATTTTTTCAAAAAAAAAAATTGGTTAGTGAACAAATTAACCCAAACATTAACAACATACTATAGCAAAATCATATTCTTCATTCAAAGTCACCTGAACATTTCATCAGTCGTTACAAGCCTACCAAACGTATCAAAATATATAAATGACATATAAAGTTTACATACCATCATGATCATAAACATATATCTGGCCATGTGAAATGTCCTCTCTTTAACCAATTTAATTAACAATCCTTCTATGTCTCCCACATGTGCAACTTTTGTTCACTCCGACCTTTTATTGGCAGGAGAATGCTCTTTTACCTTTGTTTTGACTTCGATCTATGACGAAGACGAGCCTATTACTCGCTTCACTATTACCTCCGGCAAAGATCAGACCAGCTGCTATACTCGCATAGTGAAACATGTTCTCCACAGTGATCCTTCCGGTTACGAATGAACGAACGGTGAGGTAGAGGATTTGTTCGGAGTCAAGGATGGGTGACTGCCAATTGCGGATGTGGACGTTCGGATCAAGATGAGGTACGTAGTTGAGTACCAACCTGAAGAAGGAATTAGGTCCAAACCCTGGTGTGTCGCCCCGAACACAGCACTCCTGCAGATGGCCAAACCTACCGATGATAAGCATCGGGTTGGCCAATCTCAAGCACATTAGGTGGTGATTGGTGAGGTCCATTCCCACAAACGATCTCTCACGGTTCCGGAGAAATTCGTATAGCAGTGTTGGCAAGGAGCAGCGCTGGTGGTTCAACCGGATAATCAGCACGCGGCGCTCCTGAGAGCGAGGATGTACGCCGGTGTGAGATTATGGGAGGACTGAATGTCTACACCTAGCGCAGTAGTTGTATAATTTTTAGAGTTAGCTTATTGGGACCAAATCTCGCCGGAGGGAAGTCTAACGCCGGCGACGGAGGAAATGGCTGTTTTCACATGGCCTTAGATGTCTTCATGATCGTGAAGTATAAACTTCAGACGTTTAAGAAAGAAAAAAACTAAAAATTAGGATGTTTTTTTTTTGTCGTATATTTTGATTTGGTTGGTAGGCTTTGCATGAAGGTTATGATGATTTATATGAGAAACTTGTACGAATAATATAATAAGGAAAAGTTGGGCTTGCTTTTTTTTAAGTTGGCCAAACCTGTTTTTTATGAAACATTTACTAGATGAGTATCCGCGCATACGCGCACGTTTCGTTTTCAACAAAATGAATTTTTTAGTGTTATAATGTTTTTGTAATATATTTCGTTTAATAGTAGATATTTATATATGTTTGCATTTGGATATCGTCGAATTCCGCTTTTGTATTTCCTTTTTAGTGTTTAATCTTTCTATAGGCGGGAAATTTCAGAAGGGGAATCAGATGAATTTCCCTCTATATCTATATTTTTGAAATAAGTCTGCGGTGATTTGTTTTCCTCTAGTTTGTTTACCTCCTTTCCATTATACACGACTTATTCGTTTTGTTGTTTTACTAAAGCCTTCATAGAGGTATAAGTAAAGTAAAACTATTTTATAGAACCAGTATTGCTGGAATGTGGAATGAACTCATCCTTCTTATTTTCTTCTATTTATGATAATAGATAGTTGTTATAAGTAATAACAAAATTTGCTATATAGGTAGGAGACGGTAAAAAAGTTCTATATTCTATTGGGACAGTTGTTTCCACTCTCTCTTGAGGTTGGGCCTAGACATTTGAAGATCCGTACTAAGGAATTGGTAGAGCTTGAAGGCATGATATTTAGGTACAAGGTGCGCGATCTTTCTAAGTAGAATCATTACAAAATACGTTTACAGGCAATTGGATTTGAACATGTTTAAAAAGGAGTGGATATATATATATATATCTTTGGAAAGATTCAGTGAATTTCTATCTTCCCACATTATCCACCAAATCGAGTTGGCAGATTTTCCGCACCTCTAAGCAATCATTTGAACTTCTTGTCGTCACTTCTTGATCAGGCATGTACAATTTTATTTTCATAGCTAAAGCGATAGAAGTTATCCAACCAGAACAATCCTCCGAAAACCCGTACAAGATGAACTTCAAGAACTCTGGTTTTCCTGGTTATGCTCAACATCCAATCCGCTAGAACCATGGATGAGATTAAGCACGTTTTTCTGGATAGGATACCGATGTTCTAAACTTAAGAACAATGGGAAACACTCTCTCATGATGTAAATTCGCTTTCAGGTGACTAAAATCACGTTCTTCTCAGCCATTAATCTAGTTGTGAATGTCCATGATCCATCACTAATATTGGGCCTTTTTCGCATTTTCCCATTTCCTATTCCCAATACATCATAATTAAGAATTTCTTCTTCCCTTTAACATTTGCAAATCCATCTTTCTCGTGGCCGAATTTAGACCAACTAACGTAGTCCCAACTAACTTTCTCACATTTTAAGCATTTGAAACTCTTTCAGCCAAAGTCACTTCAGTTAGCACTCTTATTACTAACAGAAATGATAGAAGGCCCAGGTACATGTTCATTGATTTGTTTCTTGTAGAAGATCTGGTTTCAAGTGTGAGTACTTTTCATTGAACCTAATAACATCACATGTACATGGTAACATGGACAAATATACACACACATAGAGCCCAACATATGCAAGACAAAACACCTAGCATAGGATATACGCGAGCACATCAACTTGGGAGGGCAAAAGTGGGAGACATCAAATGTAACCATGCATTGAAAATAAGAGAAAATATTTAATTAAGACGTGAACCTGGTTTTAACTATTTATGGTTCGGGTGAAGGTTGGAGGTTCAGGTTTAAATCATAAAAGAAACCTAAAAAATTAAAGGGACCATGTTAGCTGTGGAAAATCATTGAACAAAAGTTTGCATGTATCACAATTCGAATGAATCCGTAAAGCATCATAAACCTAAAGCAAACAAAACTCATAATTACATATTTCTTCTTCGTCACGTCACGGTTTACGTAGTGCAAACACAAAGATCAAGAGAACCCAAAATATGAAACTAACAAATGGCAGTTCAAATTTACTCTACAGAGGAAGCAAAGAAGCCATGAAAGTTATGTTCAATTTCATATACCGATCATCAATCTCTTACATCTTATCACATAGAAGTTTATATCTACATCTAGTTACCTTTGCATTCTTGCCTTCGCGGCTCTTAAAGTTCTTGTAATTGCTAATAGCTTTTCATTTGAGAGGATATTCTGTGAAAGATAACCCGCAAAGAAATAAGAGATGATTTAGCTCAGCTTTTCAGGCACACGCTTCGAAGTCTCACATTAAAGGCCAAAAACACTTTCTTCATATCTTCTGTATCCGTTAAATTATATATGCAACACATAGCTGTTCCCTTTTTACCCTAACTATTTTCTACGTAATTGTATCGTACAAAATATGAAACTTTACCAGCAATGGGATCGGTAGTATCATCGACTCCATCTCGTTCTCTCTACTTTGTCTCTGTTATTTTAGTCTTTGAAAGGTGTGTCCCAAATTAAATAGGTGACCGAGACTTGTGAAGAATCCAATAAGCTCGCTTCTTCCTCTGTTAAGCAAAAAAGAAATTCAAGATTGTAGTTTATCATTTAACTCAATAAGAAAAAAATTAGCACACTGTCATGTAAGGCATTAATATACTGCTGAATGTAGAGTTTTGTTACCAAATTCACGTGAAGCTTTGGAAGTTAAAAGAGTAAGTAGAAGAAAATTAGAACAGAATAGAAACTTGCACGAATCATCCTTATCAGTTTCCTATCCTTTCCGACACTCCAAAACTGACTACCCATTTAATTTTACCGAAGTCGCTCTTATGATGGTGGAAACAAAAGAAAAAAGATCTTTTTTTTTTTGTCACTGAAGCACTTCATTAAACTTTAAGAAACAGAGTTATACAATGTATTCTTCGCAAGGGAATCAGCAACTACATTTGCTGCTCGCGGGATAAACTTGAAACAAATATACATAAACCGATTGGATAGAGTCATGATATCGTAGAGGATACCATGGAGTTTGGAAACGTTTGAACCTGTCGAGATGGCTTGTATCATTTGAAAGGAGTCGGATTCTACCGAGATAGTCCTTATATCTTCTTCTACAGCCTTTAGAAGGGNTGTGCGGATGGCTAGACCTTCCGCCATGAGTGGTGAGGAGACATGAGTCGTAGTCTCTGAGAATTGCTTTTGTGTGTGATGGTCCTGATTTTTAAAGATCCACCCCAAACCAGCAATATGGTGATCTTCTTTCCAAGCCGCGTCTGTTTGGCAAACTACTTCCACAGCAATCTCATCTTCACTT